AGAAGAACTATTTTTAAGATTTATTATTTATTTCAAAGGCAGAGTTACGAGAGGCAGAGGCAGAAAGAGAGAGAGGTCTTCATCCACTGGTTCATTCCCCAGATGGCCACAATGGCCGGAGCTCCGTCAATCCAAAGCCAGGAGCCAGGAGCTTCTTCCTGGTCTCCCATGTGTGTGCAGGGGCCCAAGAACTTGGGCCATCTTCTACTGCTTTCCCAGGCCACAGAAGAGAGCAGAAGTGGAGCAGCTTGGACTTGAACTGGTGCCCATATAGGATATCGGCCCCAAACTTTTTTAAAAGTTCTTTTTGTGGGGCTGGCACTGTGGCATAGCCAGTAAAGCCGCCGCCTGCAGTGCCAGTATCCTATATGGGCACCAGTTCAAGTCCCAGCCGCTCCATTTCCGGTCTGGCTCTCTGCTGTGGCCTGGGAAAGCAGCAGAGGATGGCCCAAGTCCTTGGGCCCCTGCACTGGTGTGGGAGACAAGGAAGCTGCTCCTGGCTCTTGGCTTCGGACTGGTGGAGCTCCGGCGGTTGCGGCCAATGGAGGAGTGAACCAGAGAATGGAAGACCTCTCTTCCTCTCTCCCATTCTCTCCCTCTCCCCCTCTCCCCCCACCCTTCTCTCTTTTTGTAACTCTGACTTTCAAATAAAATATAAGTCTTTAAAAAAGTTTGCTGTGGAGCAGGCGTCTTGCCTAACAGTTAAGATGCCAGGTAAAGTATCTGTATTCCATATCAAACTACCCTGACACCTAATTAATGCAGACCTTGAGAGGAAGTGGTGATTGGGGCCAGCACTGTAGTACAGCAGTTAAGCCACCTTCTGTAGCGCCAAGATCCCATATGGCCATGGTTCAAGTCCCAGCTGCTCCATTTCTGATCCAACTCCCTGCTAATGCACCTGGGAAATCAGGGAAGGATGGCCCAAGTGCTTGGGCCCCTGCACCCACATGGGAGACTTGGATGATGCTCCTGGCTCCTGGCTTTGGATCGGCCCAGCTCCAGTAGTTGCAGCCATTTGGGGAGTCAACTACCAGATGGAAGAGCTCTCTCTCTCTCTCTCCCCCACCTCCATAACTCTGCCTTATAAATAAAACATCCTTAAAGAAGGAGAAAGGAAGAGAGGGGTGGGGAGAAGGGCAGGCAGTGGTGATGGCTTAAGTGATTGGGCTCCTATTACCCAAATAGAAGACCTGGATTAAGTTCCCAGCTGGCACCTTTGGCCCCCTTGCTGTTGTGGGTTTTTGGGAAGTGAAACAGTGGATAGGAGCTCTGTCTCTCTAAAATAAATAACTTTTCAGGGGAGGCATTTGGCCTTATAGTTAAGATGCTCATGGCCCACATTAGAGTACCAAGGATTGATCTCTAGCTCCTGATTCCAACTTACTGATAATGCAGATCCTGGAAGCCAGTAATGGCTCAAGTAATTAGATTCTGTCTCCACATAGAACACCTAGATTGACAAGTTCCTGGCTCCTACCTTTAGCCTCTCAATGAGCCAGCAGATCAGAACTCTCTATCTGCTTAATACTTATCAGACATGACTCCTACAGAAGCCACAACTATACAGAAATATGGCTATTTGTGGTGCTTAATATAACAGTGGTACTAAACTACTTGCTATCCTTCAAATTAGTTAACTAATTTTAGTATAACTTTTTAATTTGCCAACTTATATTATCTGAGTAATAGAAGTTAATGACAGGGGCAGTGCTGTGGCATGGCTGGTAAAGCTGCCGCCTACCATGCTGGCATCCCATATGGGCACTGGTTCAAGTACAGGCTACTCCACTTCCAATCCAACTCTTTGCAGTGGCCTGGGAAGGCAGCAGAAGATGGCCTAAGTCCTTGGGCTCCTGCACCCGCTTGGGAGACCTGGAAGAAGCCCCTGGCTCTTGGCTTCAGATCGGCACAGCTCCGGCCGTTGCAGCCATCTGGGGAGTGAACCAGTGGATGGAAGACCTCTCTCTCCCTCTCTCTCTCTCTCTCTGCCTCTGCCTCTCTGTAACTCTGCCTTTCAAATAAATAAATCTTTTTAAAAAAAGTTAATGAAAATTTTCAGCTTTATATGACTAGGGTTGTTCATAATCCCCCAAAGGCTCAGTTTCTTCATCTAGAAAATTAGAAAACCAAATAACCTGTAAACTATCTTTTAGCTATGAAATTCTTAGTATCTACATTATTATCTCTGAGATGCAAGGTCAGGGAAAGTACTCAATTGCAATTAAATTTTTTTTTCAAATTACCTGTCATTTTCAAAATTAATATTCCTTGCATTGGGCATTGTTGCACAGTGGGGTAGGTAAGCCACCACTTGGGATGCCCACATTCCATCACACTGGAAAGCCCAGGATCAAGTCTTGCCTCTGCCTTCCAATCCAGATTCCCAATGCACCTGGAAGGCAGTAATTGGACTTGTATCTTTCTCCCTCTTTGTATTGTTCTGCCTTTAGGGGCTTGCACTGTAGAGCCTGCAATGCAGGAATCCCCTATCTGGCAACCCGTACTAGAGGTGTGGTTATATGTCCACTTATACTTAACAGCACTTCTGATATTTAATCTATTTGAAATGGAAATTTAAATAAATTTAAATAAAATGAACTTTCCATTTTTCTAAGGAAATTCAAGCTTTTAGGGCTGGCTTTGAGGGCTGTCTCTCCAGCATCCCATATTGGAGTCCCAGCTGTTCTACTTCCAATCCAGCTCCCTGCTACAGTGGCTGGAAAAGCAGTGGAAGATGGCCCAAGTGCTTGGACCCCTGTACCCACATGGGAGACCTGGATGGAGTTTCTAGGCTCCTGACTTTGGTCTGGTCCAGTCCCAGCTATTGCTGCCATTTGGGGAGTGAGCCAGTGGAAGGATCTCTCTGTGTCTCCAACTCTGCCTTTCAAATAAATATTTTTTAAGAAAAGCTTTCAATATTCTTAATTTAGAAATTAAGGGCCGGCGCCGTGGCTCACTAGGCTAATCCTCCGCCTTGCTGCACCGGCACACCGGGTTCTAGTGCCGGTCGGGGCGCCAGATTCTGTCCCAGTTGCCCCTCTTCCAGGCCAGCTCTCTGCTGTGGCCCAGGAGGGCAGTGGAGGATGGCCCAGGTGCTTGGGCCCTGCACCCCATGGGAGACCAGGAGAAGCACCTGGCTCCTAGCTTTGGGTCAGCATAGCTCCAGCCATTGCAGCCATTTGGGGAGTGAACCAACGGAAGGAGGACCTTTCTCTCTCTCCCTCTAGCTGTCTGTACCTTTACCTCTCAAATAAATAAATAAAATCTTTTTTAAAAAAAGAAATTAAGATTCGGGGCTGGTGTTGTTACATAGTGGGCTAAGCTGCTGCCTGCGATGCCAGCTTCCCATATGGCTGCTGGTTCAAGTCCCAGCTACTCCAACTTCTGATCCAGCTCCCTACTAACATGCTTGAGAAAGCAACAGCACATGGCCCAGGTGCTTGGGCTCCTGCATCCACGTAGGAAACTTGGAAGAAGTTTCTGGCTCCTGGCTTTGGCCTGGACTAGCACCAGCCATTGTGGCCAAATGGGGATTGAATCAACAGATAGATCTTTTTTTCTGTCGCTCTCTTTTTTTCTCTCAGTAACTCTGCCTTTCAAATAAAAAATAATTTTTTTTAATTTTAATGAAAGATTTGGGGTTGGCATTGTGATATAATGGGTTAAGCCATCACCTTCAGCACCAGCATACCATATGGATACTGATTGGAGCCTGGCTGCTCCACTTCCAATACAGCTCCCTACTAATGTGCCTGGGAGACCAGTGGAAGATGGCCCAACTGCTTAGGCCCCTGCAGCTTCATGGGAGACCCAAATGAAGCTCCAGGCTGGGTGGGGCAGTTGTGGCCATCTGGGAAGTGAACCAGTGGATGGAAGAACTATCTCTCTCTCTCCCTATCTCTCCCCCTCTCTCTGTAACTTTGCCTTCCAAATAAGCAAAATATTTTTTTAAATTAAAGATTCATAAATTTTTCTTAACATCTTTATATTTCATAACTTAAGGAAGCATCAATTCAAAACCTTAACTCATGTATAATGTTTAGTATCAAGATTCATTTTAATGAAATGAACTGTCATTCCTTCCAAAGAGGCAACAAAGTATAGAATCTCATTAAATTTCTTAAACTAAACTACAGGAGTTAGAACACATTGTACCCATTTACTAAGCATTATACTAAGCTCCAAGAACAAAGGGGCAACATCATTCCCTAAAAATCACATTTTAACACATTGCCCAAGGTAGAGAGGTTATTTCTTCCCTTACCTCCCACCAAGTCTGATCCACACTATGAAACGTCTCCTTAATCACTCCTCTGCCTCTCTCCCCACTAAGGTCACACTGCTTCAGTATTCAAACATCCTTCCCCCAGACTGTTAACAATTTCCTAGTTGGACACTGTCTCCAGGCTTTCCCTACTGGAGAGTGAACCAACAGATGGGAGCACATGGGCTCGAGCTCTCTGTCAAGTAAATAAACAAAAAATTTTACAAAGAGCCACAATACTTTAACTTCTCAGTACATGAACTAAAATCATCACCTCGCTTCAATCATGCATTCTGAAGTCAGTACTTCTGGCAAAGTTGCACCACACTATATATAAAGAAATTTCTGGATATTCAAAAATTGTGATAATTTTTTAAAAACAGCTTCTTGTGCTTAAATCAGTCCCTTAAGAAGCTGATGAAAACAGTAACCTTGCCAAACAATTTATTGCTAACATTTAAGGTTGCAAGCCACTGTGAACAGTATTCTTATGCTTGAAGAACAGGCTTTAAAAAAAAAAATCACACTCCTTTTTAATTTCCCAGCATGGCTGTCCCCACGGAACTCATTCAAAGATGAAGCCAAGACAGAGCAATACCTCTCAGAGCGGGTAAGGGAGAAAACGACAGGCTATCTAAAACACCTTGGAAGGTGAAACTAAGAGTGCCACAGCCAGAGGAGGAAGCCCCTTCGACTACAGCCGTCGGACGTTGCAAGCTGTCGGAAGGCTTACCTTCAGCCGCTTGATCATTTCGTCGGTGGTGATCTTGTCGGTGATCTCCTTCACCCCCGGAGGGTAGGCGATCTTCCCATCGGCACTCACGACGCCACAGAGGGCAGTGGCAGGCTTGGGCTGCGCGGTGAAGTCCATCCTGGGGGACAACTTTTCTTTCACAGTCCTCTACCGGCCTCTATCGGTCAGAAAACCAAAGTTCAGCGAGAAAGGGGCGACTTTGTAACCTCTTTTTTCATTTCAAAAATCTCTAATCGGGAAAGGGCCCTTTCTCCCCCGGAGGCCAGAGACGCGGCCACGGCTCCAGCGCTGGCTCCTTAGCGGGCCCGGGGATCCCGCCGCCCGCCCGCCGCCCCTACCCGCGCCGGCGCCGCCAGCCCCGGGCCCACGGGGCTCCCGGGCACCAGCCGCCTTGGCCGCGGGAGAAGCCGAGCAGCGCCAGGAGTTTCCCATTCCGCCTTTCACAATGAAATCCACCCCGGAGCTCCTAGGCCCTAAGTTTGGCTGCCTCCGGAGGCCGGTGAAGACCCCAAAGCCCCCGGCTCGGCTAGGCAGAAGCGCCCAGTCCCCGCCTGACCAGTCCACTCCGGGAAAGGAGACGTGAGGCCTATAGGGCTCGGCTTAGGCCGCAAAACTAGGGACCCAACCGGACCCACACGCCGCCGCGGCTCCTGGGAACAAAACGCTCTTGCACGGCCGAGCTTGGGCCCCTGGCAGTCCCCACCGGCTCCCGGCCCTCCTCGGTCCCGCTCCCCCACCCCTGCGGGAGGGGAAAACAGCCGCCTTCCACCCGCAACCCCACGCCAGGAAGAGGCTCCGCACTTCACATTTTGTTCCTTCAACTTCGGCTGATGGACCCCGGAGGCTTCCTACGCCCCCGGCCCCTCGGCGCCGCCCGGCCCCGCCAAGGCCTTACCGGCACCTCCCGGCAGCCGTGCCGGGCCTCGGACCCGCGGCACCTACCCCCCCACCCCCCGCGCTCCGGTCTCCCCTTCCGTCCCCTCCCTCCACCAGCCGAGGGCGGGAGCCGAGCCACCGCCGCCTTTACCTCCTCCTCATGCGGGCGGAAGGTGCATCGAGAGCCCGGGCCTCTGTCAGGTGGATGGGGCGACGCTCCCTCGTCGAGCTGCACACCAAGGCGGGTTCCGCGAGGCCCAGCCGCCGCCTACGACCGCCCGCCCCCGGAATGTCGCTGGGGCAGGCGTAACCGAGGAGGAGCAGCCGCCGCGGGGGGAGACGCGGGGCGAGTGTGCACTGGGCGGGGAGACACTGCCGCTCTCCGTCTGGCCGAGGAAGAGCAGCCTCGGAGACGGCTCCTCCGGGAGCGTAGGCGCGGGTGTCCGCCCGGGACGCCCCCCACCACCACCACGGCCAGCCCGCCCGCACCTCGCGCGGGCCGGGGCCGCCGACCCGGACCCGGACGCCCCACGCAGCGGCGCGCGCCCGGCCCTCGGTGCCCCAGGGAGCCGGCGCCTCGCGCACACACCGGCCGGTCACGCGAGCGGCGCGAGAGCACGCGAGAGCAGTGCGCGCGCCTCGCTCCCTCCCCTTCCTCCGCCGGCCGTGCCTCCGCCTCCCTCGGGCCTGAGGCGGCCGCGCGCGGGGCCGACAGCGCCGCCATCCGGTTGGCGCCAAGACCCGCCGCGCGGGGCGCCTGAGGGAGGACGAGCGGAGGAGGAGCTCGGGTGGCGGGAAGCGAACCCCCGTCCCCACGGCCCTGCGAGGGTGCGCCGGGCGGACGGAGCTGCGCCTTTCGCCGCAGCGATGACTTCGTGACTTTGAGGGAGGACCACCCTGAGGGACTGGACGGAACCGGTGGAAAGACGATTAATTACTCGGTGAAAATGAACTGTATTTCCTCCCCAGGGACAGAACTACAAAAGTGAGGGGAAGTTTTTGCAACCCGGCAACGTGGGCTGCTCATTTTTGTGTCTTCCGACAGCCAGTCGACTTCGCCTCCTACCCCCCCCCCACTTTAGATTTCTAAACTTAGTATTTTGAAACCCACAAAAATACCCAGATGGCGCGCAGTCGACTAGTTCTCAAGGTATGGCCTCTGGGCCCCAGGCCTCGGGATCACTCTAGACACTGCCTGAAAAACATGTGTCGCCACCTGGAAAATCTACAGAATAGGAGCTCTGAGTGGAACCCCGGAATAAGCATTTGTACACGTTAGCAAGGTGGTTCCGGTGCGTGTGGGAGAACTCATTTTTAAAGTGTTCTAAACATACCAAAGATGAACTTTTTCTTTCATCTGAAGGAAAACAACCGCCAGGGAAAACTCAGTGCAGCAGCGTGTGAATAATTTAAGGTAAATAATTGAAGCAAGGGAACCTCAATAGCACACACACAATTTCAGAAGAGGAAGTTGAAAAGAGAATACAGTTACGTGAAATAGAATCCAGGTGTTGAAGCTGACCCCTGCCAGAGTTTAAAATGATGGTTGATTGTTTATTTAAATGATTCTTGATGACTTTCCTTGCTCTTCTCCCCCCTCCAAAGCCTTCAACTTGACCTTAGAAATGCTAGAGGTATTGCCATTGTTTTTCAGGTGTAACACGAGGGAGTAATCATCTTGGACTTCACAGTTGCTGATTTGCTAGAGCTCTTCAGAAAAGTGCTGCTTTCTCCTTAGGTCTAAGAGTAGCAGGAAGAATGCATTTCAGACTGTCCTTAGTTGACATTTTACTCTCCCTCATAACGTTGATGTTTCTTGATTTTGTATATTTAAATAAATAAAGATGGAGGATGCTTTTTTCATTCTCTCAGTAACTTTAAAAAAATTATTTATTTGAAAGGCAGAGAGAATCTTCCATCTGCTGGTTCACTCCCCAGATGGCTGTAAGCCAGGATGCAGGAGCTTCATCTGAGTCTCCCATGTGGGTACAGAAGTCCAAAGACTTGGATCATCTTCTGCGTGCATTAGCAGGGAGCTAGGTCAAAAGTGGGGCAGTCAGGACTCCAACAAATGCCCATATGGGATTCCAGTGCTGCAGGTGATGACGGCTTTACCCTCCATGCCACTGGGCCTTAATCTAATTTATGTACTATTAAATGGAGTTTTGTATATACATAGTTTTTAATCCAATGTATCACATTGTTTCAGTCCAAATTTACCATATGTGCTGCCTGAAGCCAGTACAATGTATTACATTGTTAACATATAATTTTGTAATCACTCAAAAGATAGTAAGTTGAAAAATAAAACAAACTAACATCACAAAAGAAAAAAGATGGTAAGCCCTGAGTATTGCAACAAAGGGTAGTTGAAAAAAAAATTTGCAGAGGGGCAGGCATTTGGCTTACTGGTTAGGCTGCCATTTCAGGCATAGCACATCCCACTACCTGGATTCCCCGACCCCCTCCTACTCCTGATTCCAGCTTCCCACTAGTACAGACCTTGGAAGACAGCATGATGGCTCAAGTAGTTGGGTCCCTGTCACCCAAGGGGGAGACCTGGATTGAGTTCCTGGCTGCCATTTCAGGCTTCTGGGGAGAGAAACAGCAAATGGGAACTCTCTGATTTGTTCTATTAGCTTCTCAAAATAATAAATTCCTAAAAAAAAAAAAAAAACTATTTAAAATTTTTATGAAAAATAATTAAAAGATGTTTATTTTCATGCAGAAAAATTTTGATATCAATGATTTTTAATAGATCTATACATAGCTTTTTTCATATTATGCATTTTCATGAATTTTTGAAGACTCTCATAAGCATTAATTCCAAAATTGTTTGCACCAAACTAAACATCTTTTTTTATACAAATATTTGTTTTTATTTATTTGAAAGTCAGAGATAGAGGGAAAGAGAGAGAGAGATCTTCCATCTGCTGGTTTACTCTCCAAATGGCCACAATGGCCAGAGCTGAGTCAGACCAATGCCAGGAGCCAGGAGCTTCTTCCAGGTCTGTCACATGAGTGCAGGGGCCCAAGAACTTGAGCTATCCTCCACTTCTTTCCCAGATGCATTAGCAGGGAGCTGGATCAGAAGTGGGGCAGCCAGGACTCAAACTGGCACCCATATGGGATGCCTGCATGGCAGGCATGTGGCTTTACCTGCTATACCACAACACTGGCTTAAAAATGTTTTAAACTAAAACTAAACATCTTTTAATTCTATTTTTCCATTAGTCTTTTGAAATATACTCATAAATAATTTTGTACAGTATACTTTAGAATTCTTATTTTGTTTCTTTTAAAAAAATTTTGTCTCCACATAAAATAAATGAGAAGACATGTTGATTTGTGTGACATTTACTCATTTTTTTATTTTTTTAAGATTTATTTATTTTTATTTGAAAGAGTTACACAGAGAAGGTGAGAGAGAGAGAGAGAGAGAGAGAGAGGGAGGTCTTCCATCAGATGGTTCACTCCCCAATTGTCCTCAACAGCCAGAGCTGTGCTGATCCAAAGCCAGGAGCTAGGAGCTTCTTCCAGGCCTCCCACATGGGTACAAGGGCCCAAGAAAGGCTTTTCCAGGCCATAGCAGAGAGCTGGATCAGATGTGGAGCAGCCGGGACTCAAACAGGTGCCCATATGTGTTGCCAGCACTGCAGGCAGTGGCTTTACCTGCCACACCACCGCGTCAGCCCCCATTTACTTATTTTTTTTAATTGTATTTATTTATTTGAAAGGCAGAGTGACAGGGAGAGAGAGAGAGAGAGAGAGATCTTCCACTTGTTCATGCCACAAACTACTATAATAGCTGGGACTTGTCAAAGCCAAGTGCCCAGAACTCCATCTGGGTCTCCCGTGTGGATGGCAAGGGCCCAAGCACTTGGCCATCTTCTGCTGCTTTCCTAGGCACATTAGCAGGAATTTTACGAGAAGTAGACAAGCTAGAACTGGAGCCAGCACCCTGATATGGTTTAACTCCCCGTACAATATTATTTAAGGAGGACCTACCATGAAAGACATTGTTTTGGACCACAAGACCAAAGCAGTTCGGTGGGATGAGGAGGACAAGAACCCCTGCTTGGGGGCTGGTTTTCTGTGGTAGTGGGTTAATCTTACCACCTGTGATGCTGGCATCCTATATGGTTGCCAGTTTGAGTCCAGCTGCTCCACTTCTCATTGAGCTCCCTACTAATGTGCCTGGGAAATCAGAGGAAGGTGGTCCAAGTGCCTGGGCCCTTGCA